CTCCCAAAATAGACCTCTGAGAGAACGCCAGGCCACCCTCCTGGGACACACCAGCAAGGGTGACTTGAAACCTTAGTCTTCATGTGCAGGATTGAGCTAAGCGTGTCTATTGAGGGGGACCTCGAAAAGGCTGGATGCTGTGGTTTACAAAGACATGAACACACCGGCACATCAGCCCTGCAGCACAGCATGAAGGGCATTTCCCATTGTTCAGGCCTCCCATCTCATCCTGCCCTGCTGGTGCCAAGGTGCAGGATGTCCACTCATCCGGGCCTGCCCTGTGGGGCACAGCCAGCCCTTCCAAGGAGGGCTAACAGGAAGAAGGTGAGTGAGTAAAACACCTGCCATTTGCCAGTCTTCTACTCAGTGTGACCTAGCGTCACACCAGACCGAGTAGCATGTCTAACGTGCCATGGAGGCAGGGCCAGGCTTCAAACCCACTTCTTCTGACTTGGAGCTCATTCTTTTCCCATGTCATCTCCTCATCCAACAAAGCAGAATCTTTTCCCAAGCTTCTTCAATGTCCCTAAATTCAACAGGTACAGAGATAGTACCCTCAGTTCTGTTTTGTGCCATCATATAAGGAGAAATGTTCCACGGTTTTCTTATAAGCTGTAAAAGCCAGGACTTGCATGGGTCTCCATTTCCCCAGCCTAATCCAGGACTGGGCCAAGCCAAATCCAAGGGGCAGAGAAAGGATTTCCCACTTGGCCTCTTTTGATGTAGACAATGTAATCTAGTCCAGATTTCCTGATTGTCTGTGGGTTTTATACAGTCACTCAGTAGGCTTTGGTATATGTTGGATTTAAAACATATTTGTTATAAAATGTAAAGGCTGCTGGGCTCGGTGGCTCAGCCTGTAATCCCGCGCCTTCGGGAGGCTGAGGTGAGTGGATTGCCTGAGCCCGCGGGTTCGAGACCCACCTGGGCAGTGAGACCTCATCTCTACAATAAATCAAAAAATCAGCTGGACGTGGTAGCGCATGCCTATAATTCCGGCTACTCGGAAGGCTGAGGCGAAAGGATCGCCAGAGCCCAGCAGGTCGAGGCTGCCGTGGCCGGAAACGGCCACTGCACTCCAGTCTGGGCGACAGAGTGAGACTCCAACTCAAAACAAACAAACAAACAAAAAAAGCCAAAGCTTTCTGAGCACCAACATGGCACTGCAGGTGGAAAGTTTCACACGTAAGTACTTAACACAAACTTGGTTGCATGCACAAAATTATTTAAACTGTTAGGTAAAATTACCCTCAGGCTATGTGTATAAGGTGTATATGAAACATAAATGAACTTCATGTGTAGACTTGGGTCCCATCCCCAAGTTAAAGCATTATGTATATGCATAATATTCCAAAATCTGAAACAATTCAAAATCCAAAGTGCTTGTCGTCCCAGCCATTTTAGATAAGGGATACTGAACCTGTAGAAGCAAAGTTGGCTTGCGTTAGCCACCCGGTAAAACAAAGCAACAAAAGAAACAACCCTCAGCCTTGTCCACATGCCCATGCACCCACTCAGCTCTGGTCATCAGTAACTCCATTGATCATCATGTGCTTTCATTCTCCCTGTCTGATGACAGTCATCCTGTGGGAAGGGAAGTCATGGCCACGGGATGGGAAGAGAGCAAAAGGCCAGCCAGTGGGTTTCCTGCCACATAAAAGAACAGCAACCACCAGTGAATACTGTTCCCATTCAGGGTCCCACAGACCTGTGCAGTCATGTCATCACCCTTAGTAACAGCCTCCAGACTCAAGTTGTGCTCCCCATTGCTACGCAGGGGCACACATCGTGCTCAAGGTCATCATGAATACAGGAGTGAGATGAGGATCTTTCTGCCCAGGCATCTGTCTCTGGTAATGCCCAGGGCTACGTGCGTCCTAGACACTCTACATACCAGCCCACCGTGTATCACTTTCAAAAGATTAAGCTGCATCCTAATATCCCTGAGTAATCCAATGTTTGTCTGTCATCTCTGGATTATCAGATCCTTCTGGAATTTTGTTGGTGGCTGATACGAATTCAGGTTCTAGATTTCCTGCCTACTATCTGTTGAAGCATTTCTGTTTGCTGTTCACCAAAGTCACTCAGACTCAAGTAGTCAAGGCCTTTCATTGTAGAAACATGCAATGCGGAGAGCAACAGTAAGCTTGCCTTGCTTGTTCGAACTGTGATCCTCGATCTGAAGCAAGTGGAACAGTTGTCTTTTTCAGCATTTCTTCCTTCAGGAAGAAGGTAGGAAGAGGCAAGAGCCATAGAAAGTTTTCAGTATATATCCATTTTTCTGATGAAGAAACTGAGGCTTCAGACTAATGTGTTTTACCCCCAAAGGTTCACATAAGCTAGTAAAAAAGGCAGGATGTGTCCTCAGAGCTGGCTGCCTGCAAAGCCTGCAGTGGATTTTGCTTTGCTCTTTTTTTGGCTTTTGGCTCATTAAAAGTAATACAAACATAAGGTTAACAATAACAATAACAAAGTGTATGGAAGACCCTTCCTGAATGCAGCTCTGGCTAGTCTCGGTTCCCTGTGCTGCACTCACCTCCAAACTAAGAACTACCCAGGAGTGTAAAGTACTCATGCCCTACTTGTGACACTCCATGTGACAGACAGGGATGGGACTCAAAACATTTCCTCTGCCTGTGCCAGTGCTGGGAGCCCTAGACCCTGAGATTATCAACTCCTCCACACGGCACTGGGAGAGGAAAAATAAAATATTCCAGAAGGACACACATTGGAAAGTAAACTTCCTTATCACTCCTGATTCTGTTGCTCTGTGTCGCTTCTTAGGGCAGCCAAGCCTACATGAGCTGTTCTTGGAGCAGCACGTGCATGCTTACACATGTGTCTGCGTCTCCACCCCAGTGCTTGCCACAGGGAAACACTAGGTGCTATCCTTCCCTCTGGGGGGTCTTGGCAATTTTCCATGTCACCATATAGAAACCTGCCTCTGTCTTTGGTATTGTTTGTCTTTAAACAGTTATCTGTTTAAATGCAACCTTCAGGTTGTTGCAAGTTGTTTGCTTCTCCCCTGACAGCTTTGCTATGCTATCCACGCCATCCTGTGTGGGTTTCTTTGCGCGTGTCCCCCATATGTCTGTGGGGCGAATTCCTATAAGTGACATTCAGAGCCCAGGATCCTAACCTCCTGTGGGTGCACCTGAGGGCTGGCCCACCTCAGATGGAGCTGAACACCCACAGCCCTCAGGTGTCCTCACCAACAGCACCTGCTGGTTGGGCAGCCCAAGATCCTGAGGAATTCTGTGGACTCCATCCACAGCCTGCAACCAGAGTGGGCTCTGGTGCTGTTGGCACCTGAATTCCTGTCACTGGTACCTCCTCAGGGTCGCTTCAGGCACGGCTGAAATGATTTCCGGGGTCCTAGGTCAGAGAGAGTTCCTACTCCTCCTTTCCCCAGCTCAGCTTCATAACCAGGCAGATTGTTCAGTGTGCTTCCTGTCCTCCACCCTGGGTCTTTCTTGGATGTGCTGGTTTCTTCCACTCCCTCTAGATCCTGGGGTTGACCAGTTGTGCCCATCTTGAGGCCCTCCACACCTTTGTGGCAGGTGCCACGTGCCTTGTCCTACCACATGCTGCTCAAACTGTCTCTCTTGTTGAATGGGTAGAATGTTGTACAGCAGGTAACATCATTCTGTTATAACACCGAGGGGGGGAAAAATTTGATTCCCAGCTGGGGCCACTGTCTGTATGGAGTCTGCACATTCTTCCCACGTCTGAGTGGGTTTTCTCTGGAACTCTGGCTTCTTCCCACCTCCCAAAGCTGGGCACATGAGATAAACCAGCGTGTCTACGTGGTCCCAGAATGAGTGAGTGTGGGTGTGTGAGTGACGCCATGATGGGATGGCGTCCCATCCAGGGCTGGTTCCCGCCTGGAGCCCTGAGCTGCTGAGATAGGCTGTGACCACTCATGATCCTGAACTGGAATAAGCAAGTTGAAAAATGAGTGAGTTAGTACAAATTATTGTACAGTAAAACTTGATAAAGTATACCATAATCACACAGATGCACAGCAGCAAACCAGGCCGTAGGAACCTACTATATTTGTGATTGTTTTTGAACTGCATGGTAGTAGGAGATACTCCTTCCAATCTTCATTTTGCAAACATTTATTCCTTGATTTAACCCACCACCCCTATGACCACCATCACTTAATGACTCACCAAGAATTGGGTAAATAATTATCCTACTTGTTAAATGTATGTACAGCTCACATTCGTTTCAGTGTTTAATGTTGGAAATGGGGGGGATCTTAGAAATTTGGCGATGTTTTTTTGTGACCAGAAGTATGCCGTAGGAACTTCACTCTTTCTTATATCAATTAGCCTGTGGTCAAATTGGTTTAGTTATATGTCGTTTTACTTAAAGTCGCAGTCTGCTAGAACCTGTTGACAACTTTAAATGAGGACCTAACTGTAATTGTTTTCAGCCAACCATCACTAAGTCTTTGCCAAGGACATGGCACCACAGGAGGTGATATCCGAGGCGCCTTTGGTCTCCTTGGTGTGATTGTCACCTCCCATCAGAATCTTGCTGTGGAGATAAAACCAGCACTCGTGAAACAACGTCATGCTAGGTGACTGCCAATTTAGGGAAGACACTTGCAGTGCCTTTGGAATCAGAGAGGAGGGAACAGACCAAAGGATGGAGGCTCTAAATAGCCAGGCTACGTCATTGCTGATGATCATCAAAAACAGACACCCTTTGTGGGCAGGCACAGTGCTGTCTGTGCACATGACAAGTTGGGGTCTCTTGTCCTTGAGCCCTGTGTGGAAAGCCTGCTGCTGTCCCCTCTTGGGGCCCAGGAAGCTGGTATTTAGAGAGGTCAAAACCTGGCCCAAGGGCGTATTCTGACTGAGTCCTGCTTTAGCCTTTGAGTCTGGCTCCCAGATCTTCCCATTCACTGCTCTCTCTTCGTTGCCAGAGTTGCTTAGCAGGTCTGGGTCTGTAACCGTTTCCCTTGACTGATGGCCTTACTGTCATTCTAGGACTTCTGCCACGGGCAAGTGATGTGGCCGCCTCTCAGTGCTCTGCAGGTCAAGCTGGCTGAGCCCGGGCAGTCCTGCAAGCAGGTATGCCAGGAGAGCCAGCTTATCTGCGAGCCTTCTTTCTTCCAGCACCTCAACAAGGACAAGGACATGCTGAAGTAAGTGCCTTGGGACGGGCTGGGGGAGCTCAGCCTTGGGACCCCAGCTGGCCTTCGGGGTTAGAGCTGAGGGAAGGGTCCAGGGTTCAGTTCGGTTCCAGACTTGTGGGCTTGTGGGTGAGGTGTGAGAGGGGCATAGGCTACAGCACAACCCCCCAAGAAAGTTCACCCATGTGGTGATTGGTAGGTCAGATGAAGTCACCTGGACTGCTGATGGCTCGGGGTGTTGTATTTGCATACATAACGCCATGTCTGGGCTTGGAGATTGTGGGAGATGTTCAGTTTGTCGATGTTGCCCCTAAGAATGATGGGAGTGGAGGGTGGGCACAGAGCCACAGATGGACCCTCCCCCACCCTATGCCCCACCCTCAGGATTCCTGGCGGCAGCAATTGGCCCCCGCAGAGCCCGAGTGGGGCAGGGGGCAATCTTCTACTCTGGAGTCAGGAAGAAAGGAGTCAGGAGGAGGAGCTGGCAGAAATCTGCCCACAACAAATTCTAAGTTCTGTCTTCCCCTCCTGCAACCTGTTCCCTTTTGTACTTCCTTCTGGACCTTTGACATGTGTTTCCTGGGCAGACCTGACTGCCAGGTTTCTACACCCAGGAGAGGCCTCCAATGTTCCTTGAATGTTTTACTTCGTACTTGTGTTACTTTAGTGACACTTTTAATTTCCCCTCGTGCTGGCATCTTGAATTTGGCATCTGCAATCCCCAAATTTCCATATGAGGTTTCTTCCAGCCCCTGACTCATGACCCTCCTCAGGACTAAATCTGTTCTCCCAATTCTTATTACTTGCTAACATGGCCCACACAGTGTTTAATTATCTAGTCTTTCCATCTACTAACTCAGTAGCTCTAACTAGGTGTTTTCTGCAAGGTAATTGCCTATAAATAATAAGACACTAGCCCCAAATATCCAGTCCAGCAGCTGTGCTGTCCCAGCCCTAAATATCCAGTCCAGCAGCTGTGGTATCCCAGGCTTGAAGAGGACATGGAGCGGCCATGGGCTCAGGACTCACCTGCATCCATCTGGCTTTATGCCTCTTAGTGCTGGTGGTCACTATAGTTATCTGTGCACAGTGGTCTGAGCTAGACTGGTCCCTCCTATGAGTCTTATCATCCTCAAGGGTGGTATAAAACCCTTTCTCAAGAGAGAGTAGTCTCTGGCATCTCGCCTACAAGGAAGCTCTTCTGAGTAGGGATGTGGGCGATGCTATTTTTCTCTCATTCTTTTTTGGGAAGACCAGGCGCAGAGGCTGCCCTGACTCTGCCATCAAAACAGAAGCCCAGGCCAGAGGAGGGAGGTCGGTGTGGCCCCCTGCTCTGCACCCACAGCAGCTTGGTGAGGGGGTGGCGATCTGAATGTGTGACGAGCCTGTGACAGTACTAGAAGCTTCCAGTTCACAGCACAGAACCTGAATTCTAGCATCCCATGAGGGCCTTTCCACTGGCTCCTTTTGCAAGTAGATTTCTGGAGTGAGGTAGCTTTTTGAGAACCCCGAGTGTCTCTCTGTTTGCATTGGAAGTCGAAACTCACAAGGTTTAGACTAGGAGGTATACACCCAATACTGTCCACATCTGCCCACTTCTGGAAGAGGAAAAGTGACAAGCTGCATCCTGGGAAGGGGACACGAATGAGACTCCTGAACAGCATGGACTTCTTCCCTGCCAGGAAGGAATCAGAGCTCTTGGCCTAGTACTGTCACCTAGGTCCTACACAGGTGACCTGCCTCCAGGACAAGGGTTCAGTAGGAAGGGGAACCAACAGCTGGACAAGTGGCTAGCTCCCTCTGTTCCATCAGTTTTCTCCTGTAAAACAGGGCTCCCTGGGTGATGGTGAGATAATGTGTAGCCCTTGCCAAAGAGAGAGCTGTGGGCAGCAGAGTAAGCCTGAGGCCACCAGGCCAACACTGGAAAAGCCAGCCCCCCTGTCTTGACCTTCCTCTCCATCCCTGTATACCATGCACAGTCCACAAGAGCAGAGGTGCTTGCTGTGGGACTGTCCCACTGTCAGGTCCTGTGCCACGGGATCATTCCTCCAACCTCCACCCCACTGTAGAGATGCGGGTTTTCTTAGCAAGCTTCTGGAATGAATGCTAATTTTGCAATAAAGCCCTCTGAAATTAATTCTCTGAACATACAAGCCCCACTGAATAACTTGTTCATGCATTTGTAAATACTGATAATGGTGTGAAACCCCAGCTATCTGGCAGTCTATTGAGGGCCGCCTCAGCGTGGAGGTGATCCTGGCCCATCCATATTCATGGCCAATTAGCGACAAGCAGTTCCTGCAAGCCAGAGCTGCTTGTTCTTCTTCAACTTGGGGCCTGCTTCTAAGCTACGTTCAAGCTCCTTTCAGTCTTTGGATGTCCACAACCTTTGAGGACCACCTGTCTTCATTGTGTGGTGTGAGTTGAATAGGTCACATCTGTGGAACCCTTTGCAGCATCCTATGTTGTCGTCATGAATCAAGGAGAATCGGACAACTGGCCTTTGAGTGCCTGTGCATGCAGGATGCGGTTGTGTGCTGGGAGGCTGCCACAGAGCATGCATGATTCAGGTGTGACACATCTCCCGGACAAGACTCCTCCCAGACGGGGATGTGGACTGGAAGGTGGAGAGGGGCCCAGGAAGTGCCAGGGTCTATTCCAGCATGGCCAGTGGGGAGGACTTCAGCTCCACACACAGCAACAGGTGTTCGTGTGAAGTTTAGTAGGAAATTTTGCTGCTACTTAAAGTTGTATCTTCCAGGATTTTAAGTTATTGGTGACCGGGGTTGTTCTGTAAGAAGGGGAATTCTAAGTGGTGTGGTCTAGACTGCGAGAGTGTTGGCACCTGAGAGAGGGGAGGTGGCATTCAGTCAGAGTGGGTGTGAGGGTTTGGGTGGGACTTGGTGGGACCGGGTTGGGATGAACAGAGCCCTCTTGAGAGGGGGCTGGAGGAGGGAAGGCACTTCAGGGCAGGGACACGTGGCATGGCATTGCTTCCATCCCACCTCCTGAAGGGGTACGTGTCACGGATCTGTGTGCCAGGGAGGGACTGGTGACTTCTGTGCTCTCTGCAGTGCCGGGGCTTCTCAGCCTAATGCCTGTAACTGCAGGGCAGGAAATAGGTAGCCCCGTAGGTGGGGGCTTTGCCTCGTATTTTGCTTCAAGAGCTCTAAATTGCAAACTGATGGATCCCCCAGAAGCCCCAACTCCCAACCTGTAAGAAAGAAAAATTTTTAGGTCCCTGGAGAGAAGTCAGCACGACTAGGGAAAGGAGAGGAAGACGGCACACTATGGTGGAGTTTCTGAGCGGTAGCATGTGTGAGAGACAGCACCTTGCACCCCCTCAAAAGGCAGGACTTCATGGAGACTGAGGACCCCAGGCTGCAGAGGCTGTCTGGTTTCTCGCACTCCAGCGACGGGAGCAAGTGGCATCACCTCTCTGGTGCCTTGCTAGTTAAGCAAGGAAGATGGAGTCGCCTTCCTAACCACCAAGGGCCCAGGGGAAGGCACCTTGCATGCCTGTGTAAGAGGAGAGAAAGCCCCCTGGGGGCCTAGGAGATGCCGGGACTGGGAGATTGGATGGCATCCAGACATGGCTGGAGCCCTATGTGCCACAGTGCCACATGGATTGATTAACTCCCTTGCAGCAGGTCTCACCTGTGGCTCTGGGAAGCGTCTGCTGCTTGAGCACATTGTGGTGGTCTCTGAGCACCACCCCCAGGCAGGCTTCTGCTGCTGCAGCCTCAGCTGAGTCATATGCACAGACACGTGCTCATGTGTGCCTGTACCCTGGGAGACAGTGTCCTGGAGTCTGAGTCCAAGGGAGCCCAGGAGACAGCAGGAGGGTTTTTTATGGCTCCTGACAATTGCAGCCCTCGCCATGGGGTCTGCAAGTCCCTGCAGAGATTTCCATGCTCTGGTGAGCAGCGTGCCAGGCAGATGGTTTGAGTTAAGGCACAGCAGCTGCTGTAACTCACCTAAATAAATAAATGTCATAAGTATAAATCTGTATCCCAAGGCCACGTTCCATGTGTAAACTGTTCATTTGAAAGTGAGCTCTAGATATGCCTTTCTCTTTTTTGGCCAGTAGGGGTATCCTGTAAAGGACCTGGTAACTCCAGGTCTCTGACGCATTTTTCCTTTAAAGACATCCATTAAAAAATTCCGCTTCCTGCCCTCTTCCTTCATGGTCCATGACTCTAACTCCCAGGGCACCACCACCTCTCAGCTGGCGCCAAGAGCACGGGTGGGGGGTATTTAGAGACGCCAGAGCACTCCCCTAGTGACTGCGGGAGGTCAAGGTGAGAGGCCCCAGCTCTCCTGGTCCACTTAATGTGTGCAGGGGGTGAGGCCTGAGCGCCAGTGACATGCTGAGTTCCAGAAGCTGTTGGGGCTTCAGCTGCAACTGAGCAGAAGCCAGGCTGGCAGCTTCTGAGAGCTCACCAGAAGTCCCAGCAGATGTGCTGTAAATCGCGGGATCATGTTAGCAAGTTAGCAGGGAGGCAGACCCCAGGCAGTTGGTTGGCTAGAGGAAGACGGGGCAGGACCACAAGGGAGCACGATGCTTCCCACACTCAGACACATACACACATGCACAGCCCACAGTTAGAAGCCTCCCAGAGGCAACAAGAAGCCTCAAGCTTCCTATCCTGATCCCCTCCCTGTGAGCAAGAAGTGAGACTTCCATGACCAAAGCAGAACAGAAATGACTGGTATATGTGTAAATTCACACCGCTGGGCAAGGGAGAGGTGGCATATAGTCCATTCGGCATCTTCCGGGGCAGGGTGATTATGACAATGACAACGATCATAGTAATGATAATTACCATTTACTGACAGACTCACAACTGACTCTGCCACATGCTCCAGAAGCACTAATTTAATTCTTTCAGTCAAAGGTTATTTTTATCCCCAGTTTACAGAAGAAAAACCTGAGCCACAGAGGGGCTCAGTGTTTGTCCAGAATAACACAGCTCCTAAGAGATGAAGTTGAGAGCCGAACCCAGGTGTGCCCAATCCCCTCGCACTTTCTTCTCTGAACTTGGGTACAGCATCCAGGCAGGACTCCAGGGGAAGAGTCCAGGGATAGCCCCAGTGGGTGGAACCCATCATCCCAGGGGAGAGAGAAGCATCCATACTTTGAGATAAGCCAATACCGTTAGGAATGGGACCATCCCAAATGTCTGACTGCCCCCCCACTCCGACCCAAGCAGTGATCACAGCCAGAGGAAGCAAAGCCATAAGGCTTCACAGCCCACAGACTGCTCAGCTTTTGGGAGCCAGTGGAACAACAGCATGGGGCTGGGGAGGGAGGGCCTGGATTCAAACCCTTCTCTGCACCTCCTGAGGCCTCAACTCACACACCTGTCATCAGGGTCACCAGTGCTGTGACCAAAGGGTGCCTGCAAATGCCCAGGGAGTCAGTGCCCCAGAAGAGCACTATCTGATTGTTTTCTGGGGAAGACTAAGGCCGTATGACAGGCATTTTCTTAAGCCTTTAATAAAAATATTAAACATACTTTTTTTAAAAATTGAAAGAAAGTTTAACCGGGCTCAGTGACTCAGACCTGTAATCCCAGCACTTTGGGAGGCTGAGGCAGGAGGACTGCTTGAGGCCAGGAGTTCAAGACCAGCCTGGGCAGCAAAGCAAGACCCCATCTCCAACAACAATAAAAGAAATCTAGCTAGGCACGGTTGTGCACGTTCATAGATGCCCCTTCTCTGTGGTGGGAGGATAGCTTGAGCCCAGAAGGTCGAGGCTGCAATGAGCATTGGTCTTGCCACTGCACTTCAGCCTGAGTGGCAGACTCTGTCTCTAAAATAAACAAACGAATAAGTAAGTAAGCAACCTGCAAATAATGCTTAGTGCTGTACCATTCTCACTCCTCGCAAGCAGCCATGGTTAATGCGTTAGTGTATAGCATGTCGCCCTCTCAACTCTGACCCTCCCACTCACACGTGTGCACACCAGCTGCTTTCACCATGCATCCATTCCCCAACTCACCTTCCTCCAGGATGGCGCCCCTGCTGGTGCCCACATCTCTCCCTCATTCTTTGTCAACGGCAGCAGAGAATTCCAAAAGCACAGACGGGCCGTGATTCGGCCATTCCTTGCTTGGTGAGTATTTGGCTTGTTTCCAGTTTTTCTCCATCACAGATGACGCTTCACTGAGCAGCCACAATCACACACCCCTCCACACACGCCCCAGCACATGCAGGCCTTCTCGAGCCCGGGTATCTAGAGACGGACGATGGAGGGGTCACAGAGCGGATGCCATTTCATCTCTAAAGCAGAACCAAGCGTCCCCCGTGCCCCAACGAGGCAGGCCGGCGGGACCAGTGACTGGAAAGGCTCTGTCGCCACAGCGCCAACCCAGGTGCCTTTCTCTTCCTCTTCAGGTACGAGGTGACCTGCCAAAGTTCAGAGCTGGCCAAGGACATCCTGGTGCCCTCCTTTGACCCCAAGAACAAGCACTGTGTGTTTCAAGGTGACCTCCTGCTCTTCAGCTGTGCAGGCGCCCACTCCAGGCTCTGGAGGATCTGCCCCTGCCGGGACTTCATCAAGGGCCAGGTGGCTCTCTGTCAAGACTGCCTATAGCAGCCACCCGCTCACCCTGCCCCAGGCTGCTGATCAGGCAGGGCCGGGGGCAAACGTCATTCAGGGACTCTGGCCAGAGCCTGAACTTTGTATTGGAAGGTTCTGATTTGGTATTGCTCCTGCTGCGGTCAGAGCAGCCAAGTGGAGTCTTCACCAAAAAGCGAGAGATGTCAGGTCAGGGACCTGTCTTCTCCCTGGCACCACACCGTTTTTACTTCTTCAGGAGCAACTGTGGCTAGACTCTGCTGCTGCAGATGCACCAGGGTAAAAAGAAAATCTTGAGAGTCGTTTAAGACAAAACACAAGCGGGAATTGAGCTAATTGGAAAGAACTTTGAATGGGAACTTTCCTAAACCCATTAACTTATTTATTTGGGAGGGAGGGAGGGGAACGAGGGAGGGAGAAGAGGGATTGTTCACAGGTTTCTTCTTTTCTTTCCATGGTTAATCATCCAGCTTCACTATACTCTTCTGTCTGCTTTGGGCAGGGTTCAGGAGGGAGACAGGGTGTGCTGTGGTGCTGGTGGCAGCTCGAGGACAGTTGTGAGGACCCGGCTGCTCAAAACGGGTGGCAGCAGAGCTAATGATGATTTTGCTTTGGAAGCATAGCCAGATGTCTAGACAGCAGCTAGAGGACAGGCACCCCCTTGGTGGGAGGTTGGGGACCGTGGTCCCGAGAGCCAAGCCAGTGACAAAAGATGCAGTGAGGCCCCTTTCCTCTGGGTCCCCGTCCGCAGGCACACACCTTGGCCCTAATTTTTGGTTAGAATCCCTTTAAGAAAGAAATGTGGGATCGGGAAACTTTGCTGGTTTCTGGCAAATTTGCCTTCCATCATTCCCTGCCACTGTAAGGAGGAAAGTAGAGACGTGGGACCCACAGAGCTGCTCTTGGACCTGGAGAGTTGCCTTTGAGCTGAGATTGGGACAGGAGGGAAGTCGGCCCTTAAGAACGGGCAGCACGACTGGAGGTGGGCTCCTGACAGGTGAGCACCAAAGTCCAGGGAATGTGGCTCACCGGGGGTGTCGGGACAGCTCAGGATGAATGCGGTGCACTGGCCTGGCCACTCACCTGTGGGTGTGGCTGGCAGGGGGGGAGAATCTGGTGCTGGCTTTTCCTACAGGCAGGATTACTCTGGTGGCTGGGTCAGGCACGTTGGACCCCACTTTCCAAACCCTGGAGCCCCCATGCTCTGCGTTTGTATAAGTTCCCAACCCCACTGAAGTATGGCTTCTGTTCTCTGTGTACAAGTTTGTGAGTTTCCTGTGAAGTCCCTGACATCTCCGTGCCGGTGTGAGTGAGCCCTCTTCTACCTCTTGCAGAACGTCCTTGGTGTGATCTCTGGGCATCATCCTGCCCGCTGTTGGGGGGTAACAAGGTGGAGCCTCTGCCAGGCAGAATAGGTGAGCAAGCTGATGGCCAGGCAGGTCTTTGGGAAGTGAAGGAAAGGGAGAATTCTCCTTCAAGGGGACCAAGAGGTATACGGCACCTTTAAGTCTGTGAAGCTAGATTTCTCCTCCTCCTCAGTTTCTGCCTTAGTGCGTAAGCAGTACAGATGCACAGCCAGCTTCTTAGGCCCTCAGACCCCTGCTCAGTGGATCTGAATTGCACCTCCAGTCCAAGAGAATGGAGGGGGGACCCAGGGTGCCCTCCACCCCTTAGGAGGGCCCTGAGCACATCTTCCAGAGCGAATACCTAGGGGAGGCCTCTACCTTGAGGTCATCATGGAGACCCCTTGATACTTGGCTGAGAATAACCTCTGCCTGGTCCCAGAAACAAGAATGGCAGAAGTCCAAAGGAATCCTAGTTGATGAAAGTGCGAGCAAGCGAGTGTGTGTGTGTGTGTGTGTGTGTGTGTGTGTGTGTGTGTGTGTATCTTTTAGCATTGCAAGGGCAGCTTCCTGCAGTAGGAGGGCTGAGGACTAGCTTCCTTGCTCTGAGAAAGAACTTTTCCCTGTGAATGGGCCGCTTGGCTGCACCTTAGGGTGTGGGAATTGGCTTGAGTTCCCAAACCTGCAATTCCTGGGCCAGCACCGCCCTCTCCTGGGCTCTTCTGGGAGCTTCAAACACTGAGGATATCAGTGCAGGCATTTGACCAGCAGGGGGAGCTTGCGAGCTGAGACTAATTTCCCATTTAACAGCTTGGTTAACCCATTTAAGAGCTGTTTCCAGGAGCACAGGAACTCAGAAAGCAAAGAAGTTGGAAAGTAATACCTGCCTTGTGTTCTAGAAGCTGCAGAGTTCTTTTCTGGCTGTTGCGAGTTCAGGGCCTCTTTACCTTACCCTTCCTCTTCTCCAAGTCAGGACCCCTGGGGTCAGACAGCCCGGAAAGACACTTTCTTCCATTTAAAAATCGCTCTTACTTCCCCCCAGCCCAGTAATGGTTGAAGTGAATTGGAGTTCCCCTGATGGGGGCTGTTCTTGGGGCAGACAAACCCACACTCCAGTTTCAGAGGTGTTATCGGCAGAGTTGATGGCCCCTAATGTATGCTGGCTCCCAGGCCTTCTCAGACTTGGCCCTGATCTGGTCAGTGACCCTGGAGAGGAGGGGAGGGGAGGGGGCTTCCATCTGCCCTGCACAGGAAAGGAAAGGTAGGTGTCCTGGCAGTGTGGGCTGGGAGCCTGCAAGAGGTTTTGCCATTGCTGGTCCTAATAGAATCCTAAACTGATTTGTAATTGATGACAATTCCACGGGGAGAGAAATCATAACTTAAGATTGTTTTTCTGTGCTATATCTTGCCCAGTCTTTTGGATTATTTTTCCTATTGTGATATAATCTCTCAAAAAACTTGAAGGAAAACATTTATGTAATTTACTCCAAGAGAGAAAGCTTTCCTTTGAAAGTTGAAAACTCCTGAAATGAGAAACACACTGCTTTGAATGCCAGTAAACACCTCATTTATTTCTTGTACGCAGTTTGATTTGCACATGTACAAATGGACATGCTCTTTGCATTTTTGCTTCCATTGGGTTTTTGTCACCTGTGATCATAGTTGGCTTTTTTGTGTCTTTGGAGATATTTGAGTTTGTTTCTTTGGCGATACTTGTTTCCCCGATGTGCCTTTTCACTTTTCTTTGGGGTTGTTTTTGGAATCTGGATGCTATTGAAGGACAGTTCGCAGGCTCCTTCAGCTTGGAGACAGGATGCGTCCTTGGATCACTGCAGCCAGTCAGGCTGGACACAGGCAGCGTCCTTCAAGCCCCTTGGGCCACAGTGTGTGTGCTTGTGCACATACACCCCCCGAGGACAACGTAAAGCCTTGAGAAACCCCAGAACAAGGGCTGGCATCCTCCATACCAGCCTGTCTTGGAACTGCTGGCTTCTGCTGTTCCGGATGCCACCCATGTGCTGGCCGAGACGCAGAGGGCAGCCCGGTGGAAGGGTTGCATCAAAAGAGTAAGAGACCCTACTGAGCTCAGAAATACTTCAACTAGTATCGTGAAAAGTTAAGAATGCGTGCCCCCTTTTTGTGTTTCCTTAGTGAGCGCAGGACTTAATGGAGGCGAATAACGAGCAGAGTTCCGGTACAACATACTGGTGTAAAGACGTCAGTGTGAAGGGTTGGACTGAGACTGTATGTTTATAGATGGGTGTGTGCTTTTTAGAGCAGACCAGGGTGGCCACCCCATTTCTCCAAGGTGGTTTACCTAGATTGTACATATAATTAGACACTGCCACCCTCCCTCATGCCCAAAAATTCTTGATTTTTTTTTTTTAAAGTCTATTTTGTTAACGACAGGCTCTGTTGTATGTCTTACTATTCCAAGCCTGGATTGTTTTATTTATTGAAAAATATTTTAATTTCCATACAGGCTTTATTCTAATCCCATCCGTCCCTATGGGGCTGCAGAGCAGCTTCGAGTGAATAGATGGACATAGATTCATACTCATTTAGGAAGCTGGGATTTCATAAAGCTGAGGGTGAGTTCATTCTTGTTGGCTTCAACAAAAAGTGGAAGACCAAGTTTTGATAGCAAAAGACCAAATTAGCTGTATAGTCTCAAGTGCAGAAAAAAATATTGCCCTAGCTTTCTTAGCACTTAGGGTTTTGTGAGGATTCCGTGTTTAGCACAGTGCCTGGCACATAGTAAGCCCTAGTAAATGTTAAATATTGTTGTAATTATTAGTGTTGCATAAAACTTGAGAAATAAAGAGCTGAGCTCACTCTCTTCCTATTGAATCAAAAATAATACCTACATGAAAATGTTATTCCAAGTTGACTGAATGTTGTAGGAATTCCTGGTGTAGAGTGTCCAAGTTCTGTGCCTACCCTGCTGGTTGAAATTTTACTGTATTCCTGAATGCACTGATTTGAGAATATGCCAGACTGCAGCCCCCCAGTGAAACAAAGCTGCAAGGATTTATAAACTGGAGCTGAAAAGGATAAATGCTGGTCAAATGCCTTTGATCACATAATGGACCTCACCCCGCTGATGCCTACTGGAACACTCCAGGGATTTTCTTTGAGCTAGAGATTGTAAGATGAGGCCTCTGACAGACTGCATCCCTCAAAGCAATGCTAACACTATTTCTCTGAAATGCAACCGTGGAGGTTCTTCTGTGTTGTTGAAGGGGGAAGGAATGACCCATTGAACTTGCACGTTCCCCAGCAAGTCCCTTTGCTGCCCCTGCTGGCCAGGGTGACCCCTGCTGTCCTTGGGGATCATACTCCCAGGCTGATTAGCTCTCCTGTGTTTCAAACCATCGTGTATGTTAAAGGTTAATTCCCTGGCCTGGTCCCAGTGAATTTCCACCCCTGCCCTCCCAAAAGGAGCCATCTGAGGCACCGTGCAGGCATCTTGGCCTCTTTCACAACAGCTCCCAGAGGCTATTCATGGTTTAACAACATGTTCCCAATCACCTAAACATCAGTTTGCTTTTTATTTTGCTGGGAATATATCTTCTTACTTCCCCAGTGGATTTAAAGTTTTATCTCCTGTCCTTTCCTGGCACAACTCTGGACAGAGTGCAGTTGTGGAATTTGCCGGAGTCCAGTGTCTTTTTCAAATTCCTTTGGAGTCTCTAAGCTGAATCAGCAGTCTTACAGTTCTTTTAATGTGATGATCGGAGTTAACCTTCTTCATAAAGCATCACCCTCTCTGACCCGATTTGATGGAGCCTTAAGACTGTCCCTCGCTGCCACGCCGACCTCCACAGCTGGGGAGGCATAGCAATGGGACCAAAGGGGAACCCTGTGCGTGTAGTGGGAGGGCCACTGTTGATCTCTAGAAGAT